TAATGTGAGAACGTAAAGTCACGCCGTTACACGAGTGACACTGTCTCTTCTACCCACCACGTCGTCTTCCACAGTGTACCACCCAGTGCCCCCTGTCACTCAATCCAATGTGCAACCTTGTGCGACCCCTCTGCCACTTCTCTGGCCGATCTTTCAGCCACTTTGGTCCGGTCTCTCGTGATATTGCAGTTTTTCTGGTGCTATCGTCTTCTACCGCAAACTTTGGCATAGCGTCCCTGGAAAACCTGTACCGCATGCTCTGGCGTCCGACAACGAGTTCCAATGTCTCTGTCACCGCTACTTCGTACTCCGCTCCTCGTGGTCGTCAAAAATGTGGTTTTATGGGCCCAAACAAGCCAACGGGCGGCAAATGTCTGGATGTACGGGAGGGAGCACTACATTTACGGTGTTTGGTGCGTTCACATTGCTAAAGGACCGGACATTCCCTCCCGTACCTTTGTAGGCATTTTTTTGAGCCGCACGCGCACCGATGTCGCGGCCACGGCCGATCCCGGCTAGACCGTTGACGCGCCGCATCCCTGCTGTCGCACCGTGTCCCCACTTGCGCTCCCGTCCCCTAACCTGCCCTCTCCCATGTCGCTGACGGTCGCGCGCGCGGGGGGACCGTAGCGGTGTGCTCGGCCCCATTTGTCCGGGACGCCGTGATATCGTGGACAGCGGCGGGGGAGCCGCCGCGTACCTCGCTACGAGGCTTGAGCCTTGTAACGTGATCGCGACGCCAAAGTATCCTGTCCCATCCGGTGGGGCTGCGCTGCGTGCCCGTGATTTTCTCCAGAGCCGATTGCGTGGCACAAACGCTGCAGCCACGCCTCCTGCATGCGTTGCAAGCTCAAGTAGCTGTGCCTGTGCTGCCGTCCGCGTCGTGGATGGCGGCGAGGAAGCGGCGGGAGAGCCAGTGGGGCAGGCTGGCCCTGTGCAGTGTTTTGCCCCGCGATTTGCCACGGTACTGCTCATGTCCTACGTCCAAGGTGACGCCCGATGTGGCACCCGTATCCGTGTGACAGTGTGTCGATGGTACTACCAGCCTTAGTAGCGTAGCCATCGACGTAGAACCAGTAATAGGCAATACACTTTTTTCGCAAATCAGCTCCTTGCGCTTAAGCACGACCATATCTCATTCAGTCTCTCCACTGTATGTATCCGACCTACTCCCACTATTGCTGACATTTTTTCCGTGATTTTACGCATATTTTTGCTGCTCGTCGTCGTGGACGACGCCGAGAGCGTTTGATCGCTGTCTTCCTAATGCGGATACGCGAGCACAACGTGCAGCACGACGGCGACAGTGAAATCATCCACTTGATGGATCTGCACCGTAGCTTTACCGCAGTTGGCCTGGTGCATGGGACGATATATCATGGCAGGTCCACCACGGTCTACCTCCAATACATCATGGCAGGTGGGGCTTTGCCCACAGATGATATATCGTTCCCCCAGACTGTGGTGGACGCGGACCCGTTTCACTCCTTTTCCGCTGTGACGGTACAACAAGGGTGCGTTCATCGGAGTGTCGAAAACCTTGTAAAAAAAAGCTGGTTCGCTACGTCACACCGCCGCGGGTGGAGTTGAACCACCGTCTCCCCCGAGATGATCTACCATGACCGCGAATATTGAATGGGGGCGAGCTTCCGAGCTCTACGCGGACTCGGAAATCCTAGTACTGAGGGTCCGAAGGGGCGCTTTCAATTTCAGGAGATGGGTGACCTACTCTCTACCCTATGCTGACCTGCTAGGATGAGCATACAGACTCCACAGATAAATCTTTAAGTATGCTGCGATGAGTAATTGGCGATCGAACGAGGCTCATCTGTAAGTGGATAGTTGTCACAGTGCAGTCGTCGGTGAATGTGTCTTGTTCATTTGTTCCCGGTCTCGTCCAGCGGTTTGTACTTGCTGATGCTCGCCGAATTTGCGGTAGGCAAGAGCAAGGCAAGAGGCGAAAAAAAAATTGACGGAAGCCATAATACCGTAGTATTTCGTTCAAATCGAACCTATGCGTGACGCGTGACTTCTTTAACCTATTCGATATCTCGATAATCGCGTCTGAGGTGCGTGACAGGGCCGAAAATTTCGATAATCGGCGCAAAAGCCCTGGCTTTGTGAGTGATTAGTCCCAGCAGAGTCCCAGAACATACCGTTCGGAATTACGATACCTCTGAAGATTTTTATTACCAAGCTTTGTTCCACCAATTTGAACCCACTTTGAACCAGAAACTGGGTCCAAACACTTTTTAGACATGAAAAATTAAGGAAGAGCCCGTATTTTGTCTTTCTGGTCACTGGAAAGACTCCCAAGTACACCCACAATTTTATTGGCATTTTACCGTCGTTTTTTGAACCGCCGGACCAATTCGATATCCGCCTGGGTGACGCGTGACATCGACCAAATTTCGATATCGATAGGGGGGTGTGTGACGCGTGACTATCGATTTGAACGAAATACTACGGTATGTCCACGGGTGGAGTCGAACCACCGTTCCCCCCAAAAGCTCGAGACTGTAATCCACAATCGGGAGAGGGCGAGCTTCCGTGTAGTGTTGTTCGGGTCGGGTCGGGCCTGAAAGCCCGGGCTTGGGTCGGGTCGGGGTAGGGTCGGGCCTGGAAAATATCCCAAGCCCGACCCTAGGCCCCAGGTAGGGTCGGGTCGGGTCGGGCTTGGGCCTGAGCCCGGGCCTGAGTACAGTTTTCAGGGACTTGATCAAGTGAGTTTTTTCGAACATGAGCATGTTGTATAGCACATTCCTCACCCTGGGTGCCCTCTTCCTTCGCTCTGCAGTCCGAAACAAGCTTGCAATAAAGATTCAACCCCCATCAAAATCATTGACAAAATTTGTCTCACCATCTGGCTTCAGACATGCTGCCAAAACAGATGTCAGTTAAGCACCATAGTAAAACCCACATTGTACGCCTGAAACTCACTGTTGAAACATTTTTTTTGTCAGCGAAAGTCCGGTGGATAGGGTACACGAACCGACCCGGGCTCAAGCCCGGGTCGCGGGCCTTGGAAAATCTCAGGCCCGACCCTAGGCCCGACTCAAACTAGGGCCGGGTCGGGCCTGGGTCGGGCAGGGTCGGGTCGGGCTTGGGTCGGGCTTGGGCCTGAGCCCTGGCCCGGGACATCACTACTTCCGTGCTCCACGTGGACTTCCAGGATTAGTTGCGAGCGACGTATTTTAATGCAAATAGAAAAATCAAACTCCGATCAGTCGCGGCATCCGGCCGACCCACTGATTAACCGTTCTTTAACGAGATGTGCCTTAAGCTGTGCTTTTTCCCCATGTAGGTCAATCTCCATTTTGAACTCTCAGCTCTCGCTCTTGAAAAACCACCTCATTTACTCCTTCTGTCTTGGTGCGCGGCAAGTGCGCGGGGTCCTAATGGGGTCCCTCCTTATCACTGCGGCCGTGCCGAGTGGGCACGCAATGCGCCAAAAGTTTCAACCACAACAGAAATGCGCACTCGTCCATTTTCAGCTGAACATGTGCCCGTGCGCAGCTTTAGTTCTCGATACATTGTGCGGCCACAGGTGACTCTCAAAGACAGGATTCTAGCCCAGCTGACCTGTTCGCAGCAGTTCGCAGCTCAGCGCAGTTACGGAAAGCCCCGTTTCTCCGAAGATTTCCCACTATAAAGGGAGATCGTGGTCCACCTATCGACATTCCCCCTTCTTCCTTCGCCCTTTATTTTCCTTCTACAAATTCAGTAGCTTCAAGCTCCTCAACTCGCGTGTCTCTAGCCTGGATTAAATGGCTCAATCTTCTATCATGTGCACTAGCGGGTATTCCTGTGGATGCCAATTGCTGTTGTTTACCTCAAGGCCGACCCTACGAAATCTTGACAATGCCATCCGTTGCTCAAACCTACTTTCTGGTCTGCCCTGTGCACCCTTTCGTTCGGGTTTCTCGAAATTCAATCCGACCAGGACCAAACCTGTTTGCCTGCTCCTGTTCCTTCGTCTCCTTCCTGCCACATTCTTAGATCAAGACTGTCTGTGTCAATTCTCCGGTCCCAAACGACGAATGCTCGACTCGCCATAGCTCAGCGAAATCTGAAGACTTATTTTCATTTTTTGGATGTTCGATGGTGACATTCACGGTGACATTCTGGTACTCGGCATTTTTTTCCCTTGCTTGCTTCTCATTGCTCAATCGAAACAGGTCTCGCCCATCGACTATGCACACCTTTGGGACAGTCTAGATACACGGCTTTGAAAATTACAGGTACTTTCTGCATATTGCTTTCGATGGTTCCCTATTTTCGGCAGTTTTGTTGCTCCTTCCCTGCAGTTTTGTTACTCTAAATTTCCTACGTGCAATTACAATAATTTGTGTAACTGAAATTCGTCTGGAAGTCGACTGCGAACGATCTCGGCCTTTACACTGCAATGAGAAGGCGCCGTGTCAACACTTTCAGCCCAGCACCACGCCGCTGTTTCCGTGCGACGTTACAGCCAGATCATCCTCCACAATGGATTGATCTTGCGAAGGAATGCTTTGCAACATACATGTACCTGCCGGAGCGGAGCGGAGGCATGTCTTGTATGCATGTATGTCGTGTACGACAAGATTGCAAGCACAGGTAGACGTCCGTCAGGTCGCGGATCCATTTATGGCTGCCTTAATTCTGGATCTCGAGCCCGACAAAACAGATCTTTTATGGTACTAAAGGTGATGAACTTGTTCCACGACGATGTCCCTGATCTGCTCAATATTCTGGCTCTCTGCTGGAATTATTGTGCAATGCAGGCGGTACGTAGTATGTATTTAGCGTCGGGAGTGTACACTAGCTGACTCCAGCGAGATTGAAGCGGAGATTGATTTCTCTCTTTATTCCGCACAAATTACTGATGGGCCAGAACTGATGGGACGAATAAATTAAGAATTGAGAACGGTCTATCCGACACTGCGTTGAGCCCGCAATACGCATCTGCAATCAAGGGCGAAAAGGAAACAAAAGTGCGGATCTTTATTCCCCACGCATGCCGTCGAGAGGAATCGAACCTCCGTCTGCCCCGTCAATTTCGTCCGCACTTGTTTCTAATAATGAGGGGCTGGCCGCCGTGGCCCACGACGACTGTGTTTACCCGATTTTAGCGGAGTTACCCTCCGTAGATGATATCTGGGCACTTCGAGTCAATACCGGATGTTTTCATTCCACGCCAGTCCCATACTAAGAGCACGTCTCACTCGACTTCCCCGTTGATTACAAAAAATGAAGGAGTGGATCGTCCATGCCGTCGGGAGGATTCGAACCCCCGTCTGCGCCTGTTAGATGTGTGACGCCCGCCATGGTTGAGGGGATGGCTTCCATGGCCTACGACGGCTTGTTTGAAATGTTTCACTTGCTTATAGCTCACACATGCTCTATGAATTGGCCTGGACATTTCTGGTTTAGCTCCGGCTGGTCCGCGCATAGACTCACTTAGTGACTTAATGTATTAGTACCTTCGCCATTTTATCGTGCTTTGAACTCTATGCGCCAATAAACAGAAAACCTCCCAGCCTTGCTCCCACTGCCCTTTCCCGGGGTTTGGCAAAATGAGGCGGGAAGCAGCACATGGCTCGGGCCCGAATCGAACGGGCGGCTTCTGCATACAAATTTCGGGTCGAGGCCAAATCATTCATCACAGAGGCGGACCGTCCGCCACCAAGCCAGTACGATGGTCCGTCGAAGCGCGCGTGCATGCGAAATTTTGAGTTGAATTGGATGAAAGGCGATGACATCATCAGAGTCGGGAGCAAGCCGCCGTCGTTGCACAGCATGCACAAACTTACGGCTTGCTTCCTGCTCCCACCTCGTGTCGCCTACTACCACGGCCCCATCTCTCCCTCAACGCATCCGCCTCTGGAACTCCGTGCCTGCTCGCCGATGGAAAGGATTGGCCGACGATCATGGTGCCAGCAAGGTGGTAGGGCCTTGCTTAGCACTGCCGAGCAGCGAGCGCGGACTCGGACGGGTGAGGGCGTCGCGATGCTGCATTCTTGGTGTCCTCGGTGCGCAGATTTTACCTCTCCCCATGTTCCTTCTGTTCTGGCCCTTTCCCCCTCTCGTTCCCTCCATTCATGTCCCCGTTTTCTCAAGACAGGTCGTATCCAGCGGGCTCACGCTCCCATAGCATAATTATCCGCACATCTTTCTTCCAAGGCTATCTTGACTTCCGTCTAGCCTACGTTCCTCTGTCCCTTTGCATTCACACCGTTCCCTGAAAACCAACCAGCAAGACGACGATGCACCCCATCCTCCTCGGCCTTACACTTGCGGTCACCAGCGCCCAATCGTCTTCCAGATCTGCGTCCGCGTTCGGGTCCGTCAGCGCGAGTGGGGGCAGTGCGAGTGTCAGCGGGGCCAGCGGCGACAGCTTCGGCATGGCATCGGGATTGTAGAATGCTATTCCTGGTCGTCGGCAGGTGTCTCGCTTCTTGTCGCCCACCGCATCGGTCTCTGCCTCTACGTCTGCCTGTGCTCCTCTAGCGTCTCCTAGCCTTTCTGCTATGTTCGCCGTTCAGGCGCCCTCACGACATGCCCGCATCGCATTACCCGCGTCTTCCCGCCCACACCCGCATCGCCTCTTGCCATATTCGTTGCATTCTCCGCGTCTTCCCGTCCACCGGTATCCCCGCTCGGCCGATTGGAAACTACACTACTCATGTTTCTACCGTAATCCCTTGCACTTGGAATGGAATGGACTTTCTGACGCCTCAAACGGACTTCTTGACGATCCCATTGGCTTGCATCTATCTATGTGCTTTACCTGCTCGAATCTTTGGCCGAACGGTTGAAAGGGTGAGATCAATCACCTGAGGTTGGTCTGAGTCTGCCATGTCTGCCCCGCTATGATCCCGCTCTCGTGCAGTCCCTCCTCCCTGCTGCCGTTTATCATCCATGGCACAGTGGCCGAGTCTCAATTTTTATTGGCGATCCAGAAGTTTTTACAGGACACAAAAAGGAACCAGGTCGTATTCTTCAACATGGCCGCGGGTGGGGGTCGAACCACCAGCTCCCTCAAACCCCCGGCGTTCTTCGCAATTGGGTGAGGGCGAGCTTCTTTGCTCTACGCGGACTGACACCTACCTTCGACCGCTCGTAGTTTTCCTCCTAACGACGGTTGTGAGTGCGGCATTTAATGACCTACGGCGGCTAGTTTCACCTAATTCGACACTTGGTGATGTGCATGCTTAACTGGGCACCCAGCAGCTGATATCGCTTCTTGAATCAATTGTGCTTTTTAATCCACCGGGTATTTTCTTCTTCTTCAATGCGTTGAGCGAATACAGAAGACGAGACGAAAGGAAAAAAGGGAAGAAAAAAAAAGACAACTACCTCGCTATAGCATAGCATATCCACGGGTGGGCTCGAACCACCGCCTCCCCCGAGATGCTCATGTATCACGATCATTGGATAGGGGCGAGCTTCCGTGCTCCACGAAGACTTGTAGGGCTAGCTGCGAGCAATGGTAGGTGTTTCACGGTGCGCTGTGATACTACCAGCAATACAAATCAATCGTTACCGCAGTCCGTCGGCAATCTTTCGTGCGTGGACGGGTGTTTCTGGTTCCTTTCCAATTCCCAAAGAGTTGGCCGTACCTCCCGGTATTTCAGAGTTGGCAAGAAACAAAATAAAGGCTCAGCAACGAATAACATGTCCGCGGGGGGATTCAAACCACATTCTCCCTCGAAATTACAATGGTACGACGAACAATCGGGGAGGGCGAGCTTCCGTGCTCCACGAGGACGTTGTCGAAGAACAGGTCCGCTTGTGGACAGAAATAATGGGTCGGTCGTCCGGATACGGGGTGTACGGGTGAAGCAGAAAGTCACGATATGGGTCCCGAAATGTCGTATACGCGTAGAATGAGAAATGTGTGTAAAAGGGGGAATGTCGCGTGTGGGCGTGAGACACAAGTGAAAGGCGTAGGAACTCGGCGAGGGGAGGAATATGGAGTATGTGTGGAAAGTGTTCACTGGCGACGTGCCCACGGTGGGACACTCAAGTCACTGGTCGCGCGGATCGTGGTGGTTCGGGTGTAAGAAAGGTGATATTTGGCGATGTGCATGTACAAAACAAATGCTCGGTCCGAAGACCGGAATATCGTAAAGTAAGTACGGAGAAAGCCGGGAAGAGAGGGCGACCTGTGGTCCAACCCACCCTTCCACAACGTGTGGGACTGAGCAGGGGGGTGGAGGAATTGTGACTAGCAAGATCATCGTGAGTTTGGCGCTCTCGTGGGGGACTAGGGACCTTTCTGTCCATGGCCGCGGGTGGGTTCGAACAACAGGCCCCCTCAAACTCTCAACGACATTAACAATAGGGCGAGGGCGAGTGTCTGCTCAACGCGGACTTGCACAACACAGTTGATAGGACGGATCCTGCAAGATAATCACGTCGAAGGTTGGTCGAAGACGCGTCTCGAGCGCTGAGTTTGGTGTCTGTCAAACGCGCGCGTCCATCCAACGTCCATCCCGTTGTGCGACATTTCAATCCTGTGTGCGCTCAGTCGCATCGCTCTCCTCCCTGTGAAACACCTTTCTTCGTATCCTGCTTATTGTCCACTGGAGCCGAACAAAAAATATCGTATCGCATACACAGTGTTCTCGGGTGGAGTCGAACCACCGCCTTCCCCGAATGCTGATAGCGTCTGGGATTTGTGATCTCCACTGGTGGGGACGAGCGTCCGTGCTCTACGAAGACTTCGGAAATGTTTACCTTGCTCCTTTCTTCATGGAGATATTAGTGCTCCTATCTTCAGGCAATACGTGATGTGACATCGTTCTCGGCGCGCTAGCTCTTTCCTTATGCGCGCTCATGATACTGAGTGCCCATCAGCCGTCTTCGACTCCTCGTTGATTCTTGGCGAGGGATCTCGCTTGCTCGTTGACTCTTGCCCGCCGTTAACATTCATGCCTTAACTCGCCATATGGGCCTTCTCTGCACGCCGCGCGGCTCGTCGATATTTGCGCACCCAAGCAAACATCTATGTACTTACCTTATTTATCATGGGACGGTGGACAAAGAGCTTGTCTTGCCCCGAGAACCAAAAATAAAATCGATCCGACTCAGGACACCAAGTCCTGGGGTGGATTCGAACCACCGTCTCCTCCGCCACTTGAAGACCTCCTTTACATTCGGTGGGGGCGAGCTTCCGTGCTCCACCAGGACTTGCAGGGTGGTGGATAGGTGTTCACCTAAATGAAGTAAATCAGAGATGCGCGATTTAGCTTCGCCGCCACCCAGCTCTTGGGAATGAGCAAAAATATCGAATCGCTGTACTTCTGTACGTTCTTGAGTGGATTCGAACCACCAATTCTAAATCAGGAGATGATTCGGTGAATGAGCAGCCTTGCTCTAGGAGGACACACTGGGTACATGTGGAGAAAGGCCCGGAAGGTGTCTTCGGGTCTGAATTTTCTCAGCCCGTCTCATGCAAAAGGGGACCGAAAATACATAAAAGAACGCTTCGAACAGTATATCCTCAGGCGGAAGCGAACCGCCGACTGTACCGCAAACCTGCGACGACCATGCATTGAGTTTAGCACCAACGAGGGCTCGCCTGTTGGATTTAGGCACGAATAGTGAGTGCAGGATGCAACAGAATAGATGCCCCGAGTAAATTAGAGAGTAGCCTGTAGTTTCGCCGCTACAATTACATCTTCAGCTCGTTGGGGCAAAGGAAGAAAACAAAAAAAATTCTTAGGTCCTCGGGTGGATTCGAACCACCTGCTCTCACGAGCCTGGATTCCGCATTTGCAGGATGATTCGGTGAGTGCGCAGCCTTGCTCTACGAGCACACATTGAGCATAGGTGGAGAAAGGACCAGTGGGACTGGGGCGACGGGAGGTGTCAAACTGGGTTGTCTTTGCCAATCTTTTGTGAAAAGAGAACCAAAATCAAAAGCGGACTCGAACCGCCGGCCCCCCAATTCGTGATGCGACCCTGCATTGAGTGGGAGTGAGTTTTGTACCAACGAGGACTCGCCTCTTGGTTCTAGGCACGAGAAGTGAGTGACTTAGGATGCAACAGACCCCCGCTGCCTCTACAATCATGCAAAGCACGACCTGAATTTGGGTCTAGCTCGGG